AAATATTTGCAAATATCTCTCAAGCCCGAAATATTTAAGCTCTCTTTGAATTTTTTAAAAAATATTTACTTAAATTTCATATATTTAGCCAAAAAATTAAATTTTTAAGAGAATTCCGTTATGGCAGAGGGAACCCTTGCTCCTCAAGCTCCCGTCAAAACCCACCCACCCCAAAAAAAAAAAAAAAGAGTCGCCGCCCCGGCCGCCTCCCTCTCTCCAATCCAAGTTGAAGTAAACCAACCACAAATACTATCAGACATGAGACATGCGGTGGTCCAGCATTCTGGGACTGGAACACGTTAATGAGAGGGATAAAGTTTCCCATGTTCTCGACTGTTTCTGGACAAGATATTCCACCCGCATCATCAGTCTTCCATCTCACCTTTTCTAGTTGGCTTGATTGTTGGATTTCTTTAATCATTCTTCTAGGCAATTTCTACTTCTTCCTGCTCCCGGCACCACTGATGAGTTTGGTGCTCATCATTTTTGGACTTTTTGAGATTTAATTTTACAGCATTTTGATAATGTTAAACATTTCCCAATCTTATAAATCAGAAAAGTTTAAGAATTTTTACGACCTCCACCCTCGCCAGTGACCGAAATTGCACAAATAGAAGACAGGGTCTTCCACCCCTCTACCTTTCTTCTCCTTGTCTGCCTCGGGCTGACAATTTGGTCTGCAATTACAGACCTACAACGTCTCACTCAAAAATCAAGTGGATTTCCCAGATCCGATTTCTCAATAGTTGTAGCAAAAAAATCTATTTTGATAAATAATTTTTTTATTCACCTATTTTTACAAAGGCTTTAATTGGATTTGGGTATTGAATTGGAATCTCGGGGTGGACCAAAAAGTGGCTTTGCTGGGGTTTGCCACCTGATTGTTGGGTTTAATTAGGGCCACAAGTGGAGTCTTCCAATTCCGTGCTCTTCCTATATTTTTGAAATGAACAAGCGGGCACGAACACATGTGCGGAAAGGGCCTCATCGAAAAGAAACATTGTCCTCCAACAACCCAAATCATTGAAATCTTACTTCTTATCTAATCTAATGATTAATGTTGAAAACACCTTTTTAATTGATCGAAATAAGATTTCGAATGTTCTTTTTCTTTTCTACATTTTTCTTAAACGATTCTGTTTGAAATTAATACAAACAACCAACGCCATTGAGCATTCCCTTATAATTATCAAAGAGCTAGCTTTAAAATTAGCACCATAAAATTCCAAAAATTTCGGGAATTATGGGAAATTTTTCAAAAACTTCAATTTAGTCCTCCTTGCAAAGAAAAAGACCCCATACTAGATATTTTTAAGCTTTGAAAGTTTTCTAAATCAGGGTCCGAATTATGGGATCTATCTTGTTTTTAGTAATACATGGAGAGCAAAACACTCAAACGATAGAAATTCAAAAATTAAGATTCGAACTCCTAACAATTAAAGCTTCTAATACTTACGATTAGGGAAAGTGTTACTGGACCAATTTGAGGAAAATATAACAATTGGACTTGAACTTTTAAGTATTAAGATGTCCAATACTTGTTAATGAATTAATGAGCCAATAATTGAAACTGCCTTTTTTCTCTCTTTTTAGGATTTGTCTTTTTTTGTAGTAATACAAAAAACGAAATGTTAGAGATCTAATATTTAAGATCAAAGGAGGTATCAGAAGACTAATAAGCTATTTACAGGATCTATATTTTTTTTTCTTTTCTTTTTTTTTTTTTTGGGGGGGGGGGGGTGGTGGGGTATGGGGTTGGCCAAGGATCCGTGTGGTTGAGGCTCAAAATAATCTATTAGGTTGAGCTTCAGTTTCAATGACCCCAGCAAGGAGGCTGTTCCAACTTCCAGTTGATGGACCCAAAAATAGAGAAAAGAAAAAAGTTGTAACCGTTGGACCCGGAAAAGAAAAAGAAAAACATCCAGTTAACTTGGTCATCCTCTTCACAGTTGCTTTAAAGGCGTCAGACGTCATCGTTTCATCCCCATTGAAAGAGCTGACAAGTTTGTAGTCAACAAATAGAAGGAAATTTTGAGGTGGGATTGTTACTTAATTATCGGTGAGCTGTAAAGGAAGAAAATAGCTACCACGTCATTTATTACCATCCAAGCGTTAATATTACTTCAATTACAAGTGTGTAAGTTTTCTTTTCTTTAGTTAAATAAAAGAAAATAAAGAAATAACAGCTGATAATTAATTCAATTTAACCACTGTGTCCACTTCATAGAATCAAATTTTTGATTCCGTAAAATCGTATATTTGAGTAATATTTTAAAAGATAGATTGGCGATAAAATTGATGGCATTACTAGCATTATTATGTATAGGTTTAACCGATCTGATTACTAATTTTACTAATATGACATATAAATATATTTAATATAAATATATATTTATATATTATTATAAATAATATAAAAAATAAGGATAAAAAAATTTAAATAATTCCTTCCATTACAATTAATTATTAGTTTTACATTCAAAAACTCAGAAAAGTAAGTTTAGTTTGTATATTTTTCAGGAAAAAAGAAAAAAAAACCGGTTTAACTAGTAAACTGATTTTTCTTTATTTTCAATTTTTGATTAGTCAATTCAAATGATTTTTTTTAGTTAACTGGCTTGAAAAGCCTGCCAATTCCTAATTCAACTGATCTAACCAATTCAATAAGCTGATCCGGTCTAATTTTTAAAACACTGTATTTGAAAAGAAAAAATTAATCTTAAATAAATGAAAATATCTGTAAAAATCAAATAAAAAAATTAACGGCTATGAGTTGTGAAAAGACTAAAAATTCAAAAATGAAAAAATGAAAATCCATAATTACAGACATGCAATCCGTAGCCCGGCTAATCAGATACCTTGCATGATTAAATTTTTGTCCGTTATGGAGAGTGAAAAATTAGTGGATAACATCTATAATAAGAAATTAAAATAAATAAATAAATAATTTTATAGCCAACAACCTTGCCAAATGTAACCATGATGTTGGGTGACAACCTAGAATGCTGTTGCTTGAATACAAATGGGGCCCAGTCAAAAGTTTCCAGCAATGAAAAGATCAAGGTGTAAAATGACCCGAGTCCGTCCACAGACAGCCACAGCAAACCGTGGAGCCGCCTTGTATCTATCATACATTCTCTTTCTAGACATCCTCCTCTTCATCAGTTATCAAATCAATGTCTTTACGTGCCATCCTGCGGTCAATATTCACTTAAAATCCCCCTAATTACTCATAAAAAAGTTATGATCCCTTGAAATCACCTCAAATTATTGTAGTTATGATCCCTTAAAATCCCCTCAAATTATTGGTTAAGACAGCTCTTTAACTCTTCTACTTATTATGTTAATGTAAATTTTTATTTTATTCATGTGAACAAAGAGTTAAAGTTTTTGTGTATTTCATATTAAAAATTAATCTAGTTAATTAACGATTTTAATATCTGTTGAATCAATATCAAATGCTGATATTAATACAAATTTAATAAATGTTAGAACTACTGGTTTAATGAATTAGTATCTAACACCAAATGCTAAAAAAAAAAAAAACATAATGACGTTAAGGATGACGCTCTGATGACCATAATTCACAAAACTCTTATTAAATTTAAAAGAAAAGATAAGGTGAGAATTAAAAAGTAGAGGTTAGTGACCGTAAGAAAACTGAATCAAACTATTTTAATAAATAATATTATCTAAGTTGGATTCAGAGGAAGGAAGATGGATCTCTCCGGAGTCCAATCCAGACATCACTCAGCAATCGGAAAAAGCAAATCTCTATTTTTCTTCTGGCACGTATGATTTCTTTTTCGATATTAAAGTAATTAAGATTTAGACATACCAACCATATTCCTCCCTTTTTTTTTTCATGCATGCTTCATCTTCCTTATTTGACCCGCTATGTGGTTCTCTATTCTCCCACTCCTCTCCACCCTCTCCCATCCCATCGTCACCGGAGACACTTCGTTGCCGGAGAAACCCATGGTTTTCGGCCGCCACCAAGTTCCTCCATCAGGGGTGCAAATGATTCTTCTTGTTTCCTTTCTTTACATGTTCCTCATGCACGCACCGGTGATCATCTAGGGTTTAATTCTTCTTCTTCTTCTTCTTCTTCTACTGTTTTTTCTTTTGCTCTTTTAATTTTATTGGGTTCTTCGTGATGTTTATTTATGGTTAGTGACTCGGTCAAAGAGTGAAGTTGGCACGGCTCAATCAAACCAACGTTCTCAACATGCACGGTTGGGACCTTTAGTCTGATTGAGCCGTGCCAATATCACCCTTATTTGCTGTCTTGCTAATTATAGAATGGTTGTTGAGATTTAAACAACAGACCTGATATATTTGTAAATCATTTCTAACTTTAAAGAAACATTCAACCTCAATCTCACCTTCATGCTGACGTGTAGATACTGCTGTCAAAAGCATCAATTAGAGGGCAAAAGATGAACACACACGCAACCAAAAGATAGAGCTTGTTGGATTTTTTTCATCTTCCCTCCCATATTATCCTTTTTCTATCAGTTGAGAAATTTGGGTTGCTAACTTTATACGTATTTAACTTAATTATTATGCCAATACTGTAATATTTTTATAGAGTATGACATGAAAAGTGTCCGCCGGGGGTGGGAAGAAGGGATGGGTGTGGAATCGGAGCCCAACACCAGGCAGTTGATCCTGCCAGTTTAGAGAAAGCCTTGTGCTTTTTAAACCAACTTTTTGAATTGTTCTTTTGGGTTGAAAGGCTTCTCGATTAACTGGGACCCATAGCTTTAGTATTCGGCCTGGGCCCAATGTTTTAAATCCATGGGCCGGGTTGGGACCCAGATCTTAAGACCCAACAACACGCTCCATTTTGAACAGAAGCAGGTATTCCCCAATATCAGCATATTGCCGTGGTATAGTCCGGTCCGGTGGTATAGTTCAAGTTTCCCCGCAGTTGCTGCGAGCTTCCATCGGAGATCAACCAGCAAGAGGAGATTGAATCACTGAAATCCCAATTGGATATGGCTTTGACGAACTTCATTCTGACGGTGGCTGGCGTTAGCGCCGTGATTCTGCTGGCGAGGAGCGATGTGAAACAAACGGCGTCGATCTTCAAGCGAAACGTTCGTCATATTCGCCGGTGGCTTGAGGAGGAGTCCGCCGCCGCCGCCGCCGCCAAGTATGCCTTGTTCTCTGCCTTTCTATAGGGCTATCTACATATTCAGACGCGTGCGCTCTTGCGATAATGTTTTTGTTTATAAATGAATTCGGCAGGAGTGAAATTGTATTCTGTTTAACCTTTTGTATTTCTTGATATACTGGCGCTGGAGTTGTTGGTTGACTCGATCTTGTTGGGCATTGTGGTAGTTCGAATTCTTTTTGTGCTTTCGTCGAATTTCAATATCTCAAATGCACAAACTATTTTCAATCCATCATTATCCTTATCCTGCCATGCTTAGCAAATGCTAAAATTATGTTTTTCTAACCAATCGACCATCTATTAACTCCAAAACTGCTTCGTTTTCATAATATGAACTGCAAATTCCTGTACTTAGACGCGAAATAGGGTTCAGAATTGTTATTTCAGAAGATTCATCATCCTTTTGCGGTGCAGATGTCCATACATCCCTATGCATGTTTGAGTGTTTCTTTGCGATGATTATGCTGCTTATTTGTATTGGAAATGCAAAAAAAAAATAGAATTAGGTCTCAATAGGAGACTTTTTTTTGTTGCTAATCACAAGTTACATGTTGCATGCATTGTGAATACTGAAAATTATGATCAAGGATTACTTTATCAACCGCTGTCTGTCAAAGATCCCTTGTGAAATATTCTTCAAATACAGAAGTTCAGTATCTTTCCAAGAATTAGTGAGTTAGTCAGAATTGTTTTGTAACCAATTACCAAGTACCAGGTCAATGTTCATAAACTTTTCATCCGAAATGTGAAATACTTGGACAAAAAAAATACAAATAAAAATTAAAACTGTGAGAGAGATGAAAAAGATGCAGGGCTGTGTCTGCTTGGTTTGTCAAGCATGGGATAATTCATTGATCTTTGGGCTTTGATTACTTTGACAAAGAAACCACACACGGAAGGAAAAAGAAAAGTTGTGTCTTGAAGTGGTTCGAGAACGGAGCATTAAGCTTGCCTAGTTGAGACTAATCTTCTGTTCTTGTTTTCATTCAACTGAAACAGTTGGTTAATCCAAGGGACCATATTTCAAACAATTTCATTTTTTCTTAAAATCTATACCATGGTATTGAATGTTTGCATCCATTTTCCTTCTGTTTCATTAGTTTATGCTCAGCTTTCAGATGATCATGCACATCCTAAACGAACAAAATTTGAAATTATTACATCTCAGGAAGAGAATTACACTGATCTTTGCTTATATTTGTGTATAGAAAGCGGACTATCCATTTTGTAATAATATTATGCTTTTATAGCATCCAGAATCTCTTAGGCTAAAACTGGTCATGCAGCATTAACAGGATTGACTTTGCAAATAATAATTTTATTAAAGGTCTTTTTCCTAACAGGTGTTAATATATTAAAACAATTCTGCTAGAGGACAAGTGAGAATAAGAAGTTCAGAATGGTGGTAAGGCTCTTGCTGCCGAGGCGGCGGGGGGGCGTGGAGGGGTTGTTCGGAGAATAATCAGAGAGGGAGAGGAAAGATTTAATTGACCCAGCAGATGGATGCTTTGTAGTTCTGATAGGATTTCTTTTGTCAGCATGAAATCTGACTTGTGTTGGATATTTTTTGTCAGGGAAATGGAGAAGGCTAAGCCCAAGGAGCTGCCTGGAAAAGATGTTCCTGGAGGGGACAAGCATTAGAAATTTTTAGATTAGATCTGGGTGTTTATAACGTCAAATCGCCTCCAACAAAATACTTATCTCTTATTAGCACTTCAAGTCGATATAACTAGTCCAGGCTGAAAACATGCAGCTCTCTTTGATAAAGTCTTTCGCTGTTGTCTCACTGTTGTACTTGGCATGAAGCAGGAATGCAGTTGCTTGAGTTTGCCAGTTGGCCACATACCTGCCGCGTGTGCTTTGAGAAAGGATTAAAGAATGATGAAATGGACTCTATTCTTTTCGGATTTTGCTTTATCTGGAATTAGTTTCTTTTCATGTTTCTTTGCAAGTTTGGCTACTAACCGTTTTGATGGCGCAACCATAGAAGCAGCCAGGATCTTTGCTAGCCCAACTTAAGAGAGGTAAGGGACGGGGAGACGTTGACAATTACTGATTCCAACATTTCTTTTGCGTTTTCCTCTCCTTAGAAACTTGTGGTTCTGTTCAATAAAATTTAGAAAAGAGATTCAGTGAAGACCTTTCTCATTTTTCTAAAGGAGAGATTCATTAAAACCTCTCTTAACTTTTTTGTCATAATTGGAGGAAAATCCTCGTCTGAGTGAAACGGGAGTCTACAACATTAAATCCACATGCTACTTGGAACAACGAGTTACATTCAACAAAATCGCATCAATGCATGCTATATTGACCTGCAGAAGAAGCAACTTGCCTCAGTTCAAGATATTTAAATTCAATAATCAAGGATCATCCAAGGAATTATTCCATCCTTCAAAAAAACAAGTAGACAATTTCCACACGGGACAGAGAGAATCTAATTACTTCCACGAAAATGGAAGCACTTGAGAAGCTCCTTTTTCCAACAAATCATCAGGAGCTACTTGAAATATCCCACTGCTAAGACTGCTGACATGTGGAGGCAACTCTGCAGGCTTCTCCTCCACCCCCTGCGAGCGTGGGTACTGAGATAGACCATCAAAATGCAAGGCAGTACCTATGAGTTGATTGGGATAGATCACATCCCTCGGCAACAAGCTGAAACTAGTTTCCGAACTCTGCATCGGATGGGATGACAGAAGAGAGAGAGCACACTTGGAGTCAACTGGTTCTAATCCATCAGATAACATTTTTTGGGTCCTACCCCTTTCAGGGGAGGTGTCAAGGCTAACATGTCGCTGGCAGATCGGAACATTAAGTACTGCCTGATTGCTTCTGTCAGAGTCGTCAACCAGCAAGAACGGGAATTGCTTGTCTCCTCCATTGTAGGTGCACGATGGGATTCTAAACTGCTCATTGGCGACACGCATGTCTTGCTGATTCTTAGCAAACCTGGACCATGTTGCACCAGATCCTGCTGCTGGGTTTGAAGCATATGCTTGTGAATCACCAAAATGCAAAAATCTTGTCCCTAGATATTATAAAGATGTAAAACATCTTCAGAAGAATTCATAGTGATACACAAAAAGAAACAAAGAAGGCTACCATATCGCATCATTGCAGGAGTTGTATATTAAGATCTTTTCTTCACTGCACTAAAAAGTAAAACTTCGCCAATTTATGCTTATTCTGGTTTGCAAATAGTCATTATTTGTTACTAGGGAGATGATTGCTGCATTATGTTTTTATACACGTTAAAGGAAATAACAATCCTCCTTCCCAAAAAAAAAAAAAAAATCAAGAAACAAAACCATCTTCCATGGTTGGAAATGGAATCCATCAACAGAATGATTGCGCACCAAAATCCTTTGGCAATAACCTTTAGAGGAAGAGAGAAATTCATCCAGTTTGCAAGCTAGAACTAAATTTTCCCTCAAACGCTTACACATTTAGGGGGTAGAGGAGATCACAGGGTGTGTAGAGTTCAGAATTTAACCTGCCTAATAATACATTTGTGGAATTAATTATAGATAAAAAGGATTCGCAGAGCTTGATGCAATGAGGACAAAATATGAATAACTTCAGATTAGTAGCCAGTCCAAATATAAAAAGAGAGTACTGCAAGCACTTGTAAATCTTTTCTAAGTTGGCAGGTAATAATGCAAGTTTTTTCCCAATTTTAAATGCTATATTTCATGAATTTTTTAGGGGCAAGAGAATAATAAATCATCTTCTATAAATTTCAAAAGCTTACAATCACGAAGTTGATGTAGTCAATCAACTTGTAGTGGAAACCCATTTTGTTCTGCCAACAAACAGCCAGATCTAGAACAGATTCTTTAAACTAGAAAGTCGGGGGAAGAATTAATACCTTGGGGGTCAGATAAAAAGCTCCAAGAACTCATATAGAGGGCTTCTGGTTGAGGTTTCCTCCTACGCCGATTGTGACCATCAAGGCGTTTTCTGCAGCTTCGCTTCTCTTCATCAAACTCCGCAAGTGATTGGAATCTAGATGTAAATTTTAAGGTGCCACATCAGCCTTCAGTCCATACACACTCAAACTTCTTTTTTCTTTTATTAGAGGATGGGAAAGAGGGATTAAAAGAAGATTATTGATGAGACATCTTAAAGTTTCAAATTTTATTCCATATGAATAAACTGACATATTCAAAACATGATCTCGTAACTAATTTGCAATGGATACATCACCTTACCTTTACAGAATGAAACTGTTGCATCTAATTGCCACCAAATCAGGAATATAATTTGCAGTGCATACATCACCTTACCTTTACAGAATGAAACTATTGCATCTAATTGCCACCAAATCAGGAATATTTATTTAATCCAAAGTAATAATAACAACAGAGTACAGTTGAAGCAATAAAATCAAATCATACTGCCTATCTTGGCATACAATACACATATCTTCACATATTTATTTCCCGTATGTTGAGAATTTGAATATTTCTAATGTGAGAAAATTTTCAAGAGTGACCGGTAGCTAGGAACGTGGGGATATCATCATCATACCAAATAAACATAACCCAATTCGCGTTCTTTAGTATCTGTCTCTTAAGTATGGTGTGTAATCACAGTTATCTTCTAGTAGCACATACAAATACTAAAACAAGGCATATATATGGGTCAGAATAACTTGACGCAGAAATTTTAAAGAAACCTAGCAGCTAGACAACTCTATGACCTGTCTGCACAACACAAACCAAATATACACTCAAATCACAATTGCAATGCAACTAGATCTTCCAAGCCTAATTGGTTTTGCCAAAATGACAAGACTATTTCATTGCATAGAAGGTGATTTGCAAGTGAAGACAGATTTTGAGCCAACACGTGAAAGGAATTGATTTCTGTTTGCTGCTAAAGCATCCGTTGGGCACACTCCTACTCACTTGAAAAATGTCAGCGAAAAAACTCTAGAACTCATCTAATCATGAAGACTGAGGAAAATCAAGAAACTTTCAGCTTTCGATTGTATATCTGCAATTTCTGGGCTTCACATGACGGAGACCCACACAAACAAACAACATTAGCAGATTAGAGAACCCAAGGACGTGTTTAGAATGGTTTTTACATAAGTTGTCACCACATGTCATGTTCTATTTAATGTTTTTTGGAAGGACATGCTGATAATAAATGCAACTACTTTTTTCCCAGCTTTCAATTTAGATAGAAAACGGTATCCAAGAATTCCAAAACGGTTAAAATTGTAATTTGGTCAAAAAATGGGACTGTTTTCAGAAACAGATATCCAAGAAAGTTGCAAGTACAAGTTTTCGTTTGTCTGTTTCTGAAAACAAAAATACAGTAAAAGGTTGGGATTTGAAATTCAAGCTGCGATCTGGCAAGGAGGATTTGAGAAGATCCATCTGAGATAATACGTTTTTCCGTCTTTGGTCGATAAGAAATAAAAATTGTGAAATACCAAACCCATTACGGGCTTTAGCACATACAATCAGCAGAATGAACTAAAAGCCGTTACAGAATTACCCAAGTCATACCTGCTGCATTGCTGGCAGAACCGTTGCTCTTTCCCACCAACAATGACAACTGGGGGTCTTGGAATGGCGCTCGCACACCCTATGCCTCCGGTGATACTCCCTGCAGCTACTCAAGTCGGCTGTGCACCCATCAACCAAGCAGGAAGCATTCTGATGCCCGCTAATTGCTCTGCCTCTCCTTGAAGCCCCTGAAGGAGACGAAGCAATTGCGGAGCCCCTTTGTTCTCTCAGTTTCTCCACCGATCCATCTCCTAATCCACCAAGCTTCAAATCTACAGAAAATCCTCCTCCACTCTTGTGAAACCCTAATCCGCTGGACCCCACCAGTTCTTCTCTGCCCAATTCAGTAAAATCCCACGCTGATGCTTTCAGCTCCCAGTCCATAATCTCGCAAATTTGTCTGATTAATTACCAATTTTTAACAGTTATGCCTAAAAATCATTTAAACAGCTATAAATCCCAATTGCTTGACCCAGAAACGACACAAAGACAGGAAAAAGGGAATGAAATGCCAATTAAAGCCCAGGAGAAGGGGGTTTTTCTGTAGAAGGCAAAACAGTTGGGACCCAGTTCACAGATTTAACGTATCTCACAGCTTTGTTTAATCTATTGTGAATTTCAACAGCTCTTGGTGAAAATCAACTCAAACAACTATAAACTCGCAATTGTTTTGCCCACCAAGGATAAAAGAAAACAAAGGAACGAAAAGAATGAATTGAAGACCAAGAAAAAAGCGGGGTTTTCCTTTTTATCTGTAGAATACAAAACGATAGGAAGCCTCTTCACACAATTAGTATATCTCACAAACTTAGATTCATCAATTGCGATGTTTTAATCAGTTACGTTGAAAATCAACTTGCGAAGCGATGAAACCCAACTGTTTGACCCAGAAAAGAGAGCAGAAAGTAAAGGAATGAATGAATCGAAGCATAAGAGAAGTGGGTCCTTTTTTTCTGTGCAAGGCAAGAGAGCAGGAGCCTAGTACACAAAATTAGTGTATCTCTCACAACTTTGATTGATCAATCAAGAATTTTAGGAGCTCTGCTGCATTTTCGACTTTACAGCTATAAAACCCAATTGTTTGACCCAGAAAAGAGAGCAGAAAGAAAAGGAATTGAATGATCGAAGCAGAAGAGAAGTGGGTTTCTTTTTTTTGTTTCCTGTAGAATGCAAGAGAGTAGGAACCTAGTTGAGAGAAATAGTGTTGACCAACTTTGATTATGGGAAGACTTACCAAAAGCAGGACCAATTAGAGACGGCGATGCGATGGAGATAAGTAGGCCAAACACGAACTTTGGGAAGAGCAGTTGAACAAACCTCATGGGAGAGCTAGTGACTATCCCATGAGGAAATTGCTTGCAGACCTAAAAGCAGAAAAAAGCATGGATCAAAAAGGCTACAATAATATAATAAGAGTAATTAAGTGAGCTCAATATGTAACTGAAGAGGAGCTTCCAAGAAGTGGGTAATGAGAGAGAGGAGAACTGGTAAAGTTTGAGACTAAGAAAAGATAGAGCAGAAATGTGGCAGGTAGAAGCCTAATTTGAGCTTTCCTAGCCTTTCATTTCCTGACCCACAGTGAATAATTTAAGGAGGGAGGTTAGGAAACAGACGGATATATGTGTGGGGTTGTAAGAAACACACTTTAGTTTTCAGCTGGACACAAAAAGAGTTATTGGGAGTGTGCGTGGGGAAGTTGAGAGTTATTGCAACGATGGACCATTGAGTTTGAAGACATTAGAGTGGGATTTGTTTTGTTCGTTGTGGTGTTCTTATGCTTGTCCCCTTCAAATAGGGCTTAGTTTGGATCTTTGGGGTCTGAGGGAAAATGGAGTTGGAGAATCAAAATAAATAAGTAGGGATGAAAGAAAAAGGGTGAGGGAGAAAAGGAAGGAGTGGCGAAGAAGGGGACAGAGTGTTGTTGCTTTCAACTTTTGTTGAACAGTGACAGGTGATAAAAGATTAAAAGGAAAAGTACAGTAAAAAGAAAGAAACAAAGAAATAAAAAAGGAAAGAAAGAAGAAAGTTTGGTGTAGACAGGAAAGCAGCCAAACATGCATCATTCATTAGTTACCTTCATGTATGTTTCACTTTCACCCGTCATGATGAGAGTCCATTTGTATATTTTTTTATTGCCATCATTGCCGAAATAGTAGTAATACTTGATTTAAAAAAAGGAAAATAATTTGTTCACAAACATTTTTTGAAATTTGCTTTTGAAAGAAGTTTGTTTGGTGAATTTTAAAAGCCCGTTTAAATTTTAAAGTTAGTTTCTTATTAATCTTGTTTAAGAATATTATAACTAGTTTTTAGAAACCTTTTATATTTTTTATTAACAACTTATATTTGGATTTTGTATTATTTTTTCATAAAATGATAAATATTTTAATTTTTTTATGAAAAATAACTATATGATGGGGTGAATTTGTTAAGATGACAAAGAAACAGGAAGGCCAAACACGCCCCTAATTCTTGAGGGTTTCGAACATGTAATTCTTTCATAGTTCCTTCTAATCTCAACCCAACGCGAGAGGAAACAATCTTCACTCGATATCTCCAAAGAAATGAAAATATGAAGAAGATTTTGTCAGAAATATTTGATCATGGCCAGCACTTCCATTCCAACATGCAATTGAAACATTCATAGGAATTAAAGCTAATATATAAGAAAACAAAAGAATAACAATTATAATAAAGATATTTTAAAAGACTAGGATATGATTGGAATAAAATTATTTTTAACACACACGAAAAATTAAAAAAATTTATACTTTTAGAATTGTTATGACCCAAATTTAAATTTTATATAATTTAGAGAGCATAATGAGAATATTGAAACTTAAGGGGGCTAAATTGAAAATATCTCAGGGACCAATCTATGAGGAAGCAAAGTCAAGGGACTAAATTTGCAATTTTCCAGAAAGCTGACAGGAATAGTGTTCGGAAGCTGTTCCTCGCGATTAACCCATGTCGTACAATGATTTCAGCCAATTTATCACGCCTTTGCATGTCTTTTTGAAGACTCTACCGAACTCCTTAGTTTATTTCGATTTTAAATGAGCTTGGGTGAGGAAATTTCAAGTTTTTCTAGGTTGTCTGGTTCGCAGGAGGCCGAGGGGAGAAAATTGGGTTTTGGAGGTCATTGAGCTACTTTTGCTCTAATTAATTATGACGACCCAAAAATTTTTATTGGGAAAATATTAAATTTAAGAGGTTCAGGGGTGTTTTGGCATAAATTAAAACTACTGGGGGTGTTTCAGTAAAGTTGGAAAACGTTGGGGGCGAAATCAAAAATGTAGGGAGTAAGGTGAACATAACAAAAAAATAAAGGGCCAAAATTGAACAAAAAAAACAGAGAGGGGGAAAAGGGACCTTTGGCCGGAAGCCGGCCGAAGTAATTGAGAGATTTCGAGAGAAATAAGGGAGACAGTCAAGCTGGAAGCCGCGGCACTGACGAAGACAAATCTGGAAAATCCGAGTGATTGAGCCAAGTTTTCTCCAAATAGAAGTTAATACTGAGTTCGTGGATCACTGTAGACAAGTTAGGGAAGTTGAAATTAACTAGGTAAGTGAACTTCTTGCTTTTATTTGGAATTTGGTGATCCAGGTCTGTTACAGACCCGAATGGCTGGTTTGGATGCCACGATCGGGCAAAGGAGAAAGGACCCGGCTGGGCCAGGTCCCACACCAGGGTTGGCCCGAGTTGTGGGCCCGGACTCGGTCCGTCAAGGCTACTGGCCCACGGTCCTGAGCCGTGGGCCAGCCCAGGAAAAATGGGGGTTACACGACCCAACTCAAAGAGCCAGGTAGGAAAGAAGGGACCTAGAAAAGTTCAGGTCCCTGTGCAGGGCCAGCCCCCCTTGCTGGGCTTGGGCTCGGCCCAGATGAGCTGTGGCCATGGGCTAAGCCGCGGGCCAGCCCAAGTGAAGACTGGGCTGAGTCGACCCACTGGGTCAACTCAGCCCAATGAATAAGAGGGCTAGTCAACTCAGCCAAGTTGACCAGGATGAAAATTGGAGTATGATGTTCCAATGGGATAAGGAATTAAGGATAGGGGTTAACGAGGGATAGAAAGGATAGCATAATCGGGATTGGAAGGATTAGGGTTCAAGGAATTGACTGAACCGGCCAGAAATGGTCCAAAGTTTGACCGGCCAATTCAGTGGTCAAATGGACTCGGATTTGGAAAGTTGGACCGGTTCTGGATTCAGAAAAAAAAATACCTATCAAACCAAGTGGTTTTGGGAAATTTTGGGTGCCCGGTTCGAGATGAATTGGCTGGTTTAGTGTGGTGTCCTCGGGTGACTGGTTCACCGATTTTTAGGCTGATTTTTGGGAAGATTGAACCGGTTCCTAGTTCAACATGATAAAACCTAGTTGACCATAAAATTTGGTGATGTTTGGGTGTCGGGTTCAAGGTGAACTAACCTCAGTTTGCGTGTTGATGCTTAGGATTAGGGTTTCTGACCCAGTTCAGCTTAGTTTTTAGAGGTTCTTGGCCGGTTCAGAGTGGTTCTTGGGGTTGTTGGACCTTCTGAATCCGATTTTGAGGGTTTTGTGGCCAATCGAGTTGAGTTGAGGTAGTTTTGGGATTGAGTTAGGCTGGTTGGGGGATTTCGGAGACCGGTTTACTATGGGTTGAGGGTTGTAAAGGCTGGTCCTTTACTGTTAAGGGTTGTTGAGCTGAAGTGTGAGTATTAGTGAGTCGTGTGGGATCCGGTGATGGGTAATGGTGCCTCGGGATGTGTGTCAAGTGCGGGGATGGGATTTAAGTCTTGTCGTCGGCTGTCGAGCCCGTTTGAGTATTGACGATGGGATTGGTGATGGTTTTGTATGGTTTTGACTTTAGGTTCACCCGTGAAGGAGCATCGGGACCGTAGGTTTAGTTGAGGTGACCGGAGACTCTTGTTAGACTCGGTCTGTACGTTGAGTGATGATACCCTCCCTGTGCATGTATTTTCATACTTATTTTCCTAGCATGATGACTACATGGATTTGCGAAATTGTGTTGATATATATGAATCTTGGAATGCGTGTTATGTGTTTTGCGAACTGTTAGTGAGTTACGTTGGCATGTGAACTGGCTTTGATCATTGTGGGTTGCATATGTTTGTATATTGGTTGTGTGAATGTGTAAGGAGTGCATGATGCGCTGAGACCGTTGGATCTGGTCATGAGATGGGGAATACCTCTCGACCAGGAGCGTCATATGATTGCCTAGGTGGGCATGTGGTTTCAGTCGGGAGATGGGTGATGCCTCTCAACCGATAGCGTGAGATATGATTGTGCTAGGGCCTGATCGCGAGACGGCGACTTCCTCCGATCAAGGCCAGAGTCTTAGTGATCATTGTACTTCTAGATCTGTGTATATTTTATGTTGGTAT